TTGCCTCAGTTGCTCAGTTGTTGTTGGCCAAATACCCTATACTATGAGGAGTACATACATATGTATATGATGAGCGTCAGTTGCGTCTGACGACTCTCTGGGTCTGGGTTGTATGTTGTATTGTTGCATTGTTGCTGTTGCTTTTACTCGATTTAGCTGTTGTTGCTAGTGTGTTGAAAATGTTTCCACATCACTCGTCAAGCGTTTCCATTTGAGCTCTTCATAAAAAACTAAAAAAAAACGTAACGAAAAAAACAACAACAACAACAAGAAATGTTGGCTGGCAGTGGTTGAAAGCAGATACTATGACTACCATGGCGACTACGCGCACGCGCCCATGCTCAAATGCCCAAATGCCCAAATGCCCAAATTGCGACGCTCAATGGGCCAGTCTGTATGGAGCTGGGAGTTGGGATTGCTGGCTTATAGAGGGCACGAGCTCGCACTTCTTTTCGCTGTCTGTTAGCTTCTTTGGTGCTCGACTAACCCTTAGTTTCGGATTCACCTGTATCTTCCGTTGTCAAATAAACCGCTGCGTTACGCTTGACTGAGCCGGCACTTGGAACCCCTCTGACCAGGGAGAGGGCTTTGCGACTGGCTCTCTGTTGACATTGCAATATCTCGCCTTGGCAACCAAGGCGTCCTGGCCATTCCCGAGCCGGTGTGTTGCTCCTTTATGTGCATGTGCCATGACTCAGTGACATTGCATTTGCATTTGCATGCCGTTAATTGCCGTAATTCGAACTGGACGACGCCGACGGGTTCTCCACACATAATTGCGTTGGCTGCGAGCTCCCCTTTAGGCAGTTATTTATTTTTTTTTATGTCCAAAGGAACGTTTTCCTGTACAGTTTCGTGTTGGCTTTACATAGTTTTAAGTGGTTTTTGGGCCATGCTTTCATTCGATTGTTCTCAACGGTTTTTGCTTTCCTCGAGCAGAGTGACAGGCAACACTTGTGACTTACTTTATGGCTAGCGGGTCGATTATGCTTGCTTTATTGAGCTTTAAATAAGTATTTCTGGAATTTTTAACATGTCAAAGGTTTTAAGGGTTGTGCAAGACACTTTACACTTACATGAGTGGACTGTTTGTGCTTAGTAGATCACATCTATACATATTTATTTAAAGTGCTTTTAATTTAAGAATAATTTTTGGCACTTGCACATTAAAGGATTTTGGCTTAAATTGGTACTCAATTCAACTTATGTATTAGAATCAGTTCAATACTTTAAAATCTTTACTTAACTATTAATTTAGCTAAATTTCATATGCTTCTCTAGAGCTCTGTGTGGCTGTGCTTGTTGTATAAACGCTCACAGAGCCGCGAAAGAGCCAGCGATACTTCCAACCGATACTCATCCTGGCTGTGTGCGAATCTGTTGCGCATGGTGAGCAGTGCATGTCGCAGAGCCGCACTTTGTGACCAGAGTGGTTGGCACAGACTGTCGGTGTTCTCTAGCGCATCTGTAAATTGTTCCACGACCTCCGGTTGGTCCAGCAACTGCACATAATCCGTGCTGAGCACTGCCTCTAGGGTGGCACAATAACCGTGTGATGGTAGCCAGGACTCGAACTCTATAAGCACATATTGCGCCAAAGTTGAGACGGCATCCGACGACTCTTTGCTAGCATCGATCACATATCGCTTTTCTAGCACCAAGTCGCTTATCAATGTAACCACTTTGGCCTTATTGCGTAGTTCTATCTCTGTGCTGCGCAGGACACCAATCAGTGCCTGTGTGCCCGAGGTGGACAGAATGCGCTGCTGAGCCAATGGAAACTTGCGCAATAGCGCACCAAACGCATGCATAGCCGAAGAGATTTCAGAACTACTGGTCGAAGTCATTAGTATTTGTGCCAGATGTGAACCGAAATTGCGCTCAAAGACCTTAATTTGCGCCTTCGGATTGTTGCCGGCTAGGGCGCCCAAAACACGCATTGCAGAAACGCGCAGATCTGTGTTGGTATCGTTCACCACAATCGGCAGGAGGACATCGTCCAGCCCACCACTATCAATAAAAACGAGCGCATTGTCAATCTGATGCAGCAGATACTCAAGATTCTCCAAAGTATTCAGCTTGGCCTTCAGCTCCGACTCTAGGGGCGCTTTGCTAAAATTCCGATATTGTTCTATCATCTGCACGATCAGCTCGCCGTCAGTGCGAAAATTCTTTTGGAAATCCTTATAGGTTTTGCGCAGCTCCGCATAGCTGCGATGTTCCTTCACCTTGCGCACCGACTCCTCAATAATGTCCGCCTTGTACTCCAGCGACAGCGGTTCATTTGCCGATCCTGCTTCGTCGTCGCCGGATTGGCTCTGAATCGCAGTACTACGTTCGCTTTCATCCAGTAACTTGGCTTCCTTAAGGCCTGTCTGCAGATTAATGCGCACGTGTAGTCCCTTCGGTATGGCCTGCCCTGAAAGGTTATTGCCATTAATGGTAGTCCAACTGATTGGTACACGTAATAAAAACCTTCGGCTATCACCTGCCATTCATCTGTGGCAATGAATTCGGCGGTTTTGTTTACAACCTCTGATGATGACACTTGCAGGCAACCGAGCGCCAATACAGCAGCTATCGTTGTGTATACAGTGGAAATGTGCATTTCTGCTGCTTCTAATATATATACCTTATTCCTGATTATAATCTCGACTAACTATTCTGCGGTTATTCCGGCTTTCGTAAAACGTCGACATGCTGACAGTGTTGTATAGTGAGATGTCTGAAGCTGATGTATCGATGGCAGTGTTATCGATGTGCCAGCGTGACTTCTTTTTAACAATCTGGCTACGCTATGGCTGCCTTCAAGTATTTTTCTTAACAGTCTTGCCAATCCATGTTTGATTTCCGTTATAATTCAAATCGTTTGATTTGCATACAAACCAGGCATTTAGATTCACACTTTATTTGTGTATATAGTATATCAATTAATTACCATGTCATAGTCATGACAACTAATTAGAAAAACACATTTTTACAATTATTGCTTAGCGTCAGTTTTTATTTGTTCCCAATGTGCTTAAACTGGTTTTCTTTGGTACTATAAAAGTAAATCATTCATTCTGTAAGTACGTCACTAGCATATAGTATTAATATTAATAGCTTCTCTCATACTATAAAGTTATGCAAATGTATGCATATGTCGAGCGCCAATATCAATAAAATACGCGCGACTTTACATAAATGATTTGACAAATTTTTGTTTTGTTTTCATGTCTATTAATTGTAATCGACGATCCCATCAAATTGAAACTACGAAAGCGTCTCGGAATTTATTCCCCAAACAAAACAAATGCCAAAAAACTGGAAAAATATATGTGTATTTATATTTATTCAAATTCGTATGCATATGAAGTCATATGGCTGTGGCGCCAATTGGAGGTGTAAATAAACAAATTGCAGGCCATGTTCTCATACTCTCAACTGGCTACAGGTGTACAATATGCTAAATACCGATGACGAATGGTCGAAGACTTCAGCAATATTTGCCAAACGTGTGCGGGGACTTTATGTTTAAACGTCGCAGGCCAATAGTTTGAAAGTGAGGCCATAAAATTCACAAGTTGTGCGACAACTTTTTATTTTTTTTCGTGCTTGCTAAATTTGCCAAACCAGTCTGTCACCCACTATCGTTAATGATTATATTTATATCTAATTGCTGCTGACGGTGGGGAGTGCGGTCTTCGAAATAGATCTGCTCTTTGATGATGATGATGATGATGATCACTCGAAACGGAAATTCCTCGACTTGTCTGCAATTTGGCCATTGTTAAAATAGCTAATCACCTTGAGCTGTTACGAGCACACGTTTTGTTAGTTTTCTGCATGTTTAGATTTAGCAAATGATTAGCTGATAAATAGCTAATAGAGTCTTAAGCTGGTTCCATCTAATGACTTCTTGAAACTAGAATGCTCTGCATGATCTCAGCTTAATTAACTCTAGAAAAAAAGCATTTAACATGCATGCCAAAGCATTTAACACTTGCCAAATTTCGGCTGAAACCCCAGGTGAGCCTCTCACCGTATCCCTTGTCCGAAATGCATCGCTGATGTCAACGCAAATACTTAAAATAAACACACATATATGCATATACTTATATAGTATGTGATTTATTTGTGTTTTGCCATTGTCGTTCTTTGGAACAATGCAAATGACAGACAATAATATTGACATTTATAGATCTTCATGTACTTATATATAACAATTGGTATATTGTTATTCTATATCATGTTTATCAAACATGTCAAATCTTTATAAGGTAGCTGTAATTGTAAACTATTTAATTGCAAATTAATTGTTGCAGAATAAAATTTGAATAAACAGCGCACGTTACTTTGCTTTATTTAGAGTTTTTAAAAATGATAAATAATGTATAGTTTTTTATTAAATTTAATTTGCCTTTGAATTTCGTACATTTAATATTTCCTGAGAGTCTTGTCTAAAGAGGATAATAAAAATGTATAAAATAAGTTAAATCGATTTAATAAATAATTATTAAAATAATTTACTTATACTTAGCTTCAATATGGATGTTATAATTTACATTGAACAATCGAATATAATTGATAGAAATGTTTTTGTGAAAAATATAAAAACATTTGAAGCAAGTGTTGATTGATGAGAATTTCTTGTTCCTTCTCTTGTTAAAGCAGGGTATTAGCAGTTCGTCGTTAACAACTAAAGCCTTTAAAGACATTTAAAACTAGACAGCGAAACGGGCATTAAAATGTACAAAATCACTTTTGATTTTGTCGCTGTTTTGTTTGTTCTTATGACACTGCGGGACCTGTTAATAATATTAATTATTAATATTCTTGTCATCGTTGATATTGTTGTTGTTGTTGTTGTTGTTGTAGTTGTCGCCGCCAGCGCGTCGAACTGCGAATTCTCTATGATGACGATGAGAAGCCCGAAACCAAAAGCCACAACGACAAAAACAACAACAACAACAAGAATGAGAAAAACAAATAAAAAAGCGAGGCGAAGCGAGACAAGCTAAGAATGAATAAACTATTTAATGTATTGGCTGAATCTGACCGGTGGCCGCTTCAGAGCGAGCTCTGAAAAAAAGTCTATAAATGGCTGCGTTTGTCCAGAGCCAATTTACAGTTTAGCATTGAACTTGGTCGGGAGTTCGCGGAAAGCAGCGCGCCCGCGTCTTAGCCGCCAAATAATTTATTTCTGAGATTTGTAAGCGTCCGTTTCGCATAGTAAAAAAATGATGCTCCTGTCGCTGTGCTCCGTTTTGCTGCTCGGCCTGGCACTTGGTGCCAGTGGCGCCTCCAATTTCCGTGAGTCCCGCACGAGTGCGCCAGTGCGTCGAATAAGTTTTGATTTCGCTTTGGCATTTTAATTTAGCTGCTGAGCTGCCCCGCTGTCATTATGGCGACACCGACTGCATCATCAATGTATCGCACAGGCTGATCCGTCAATATGCGCGCACGGGCTATGCGCCCGCGGCCTTTCCGCAGGTGGAGCCGTTCCTGGTCAAGCGCTTTGACATCTCGGATGGACGCGCCGGCTCGCTGAGCCTGAAGCTCAACTTCCGCGATGTCAACGTGGAGGGATTGTCCGGCGTTAAGTTCGACAGGGCCGTGTAAGTAGCCGAGCATGTCATTTTTGTAGCTATATATAATTGTTCTGATTATATATTATTTTAAAAAAACGTAGCGGATTTGGCACAAATCCGGCCAGCAGCAAGTTTGAAATGTACGGCTCCTTCCCCAAGATTGTGCTGCGTGGCAAGTACCTTGCCGATGGACGCATTCTAATCCTGCCCATACGCGGCGATGGCGATGCTGATATTACCCTGCACAATCCCAAGTTTTCGGTCAAGTTCAAGCCGGCCACACAGTCGCGCAACGGACGCACCTACCTGAGCGTGGACAAGCTCAAGGTGCTCGTCGAGCCACAGAAGTAAGTTGAGAGCAGCTCAAAGGTTATACGTGATTAAATTGAAAATTGTGTGATCCTTGCCAGAATGAACATAAAGCTGACCAATCTCTTCAATGGCGACCAAGCGTTGGGCAACAATCTGAACCAGTTCCTGAACGAGAACTGGTCCGAAGTCTGGAGCGAGCTGCAGCCCTCGGTGCATGTGGCCATATCAGATATTATGAAAAACATTCTGGCCACACTGTTCAAGCGTTTCGCCTACGAGGATCTGTTTTTGGAGGACTAAAGCGTCGCAGTGCGCCGCGAATGTGACAGACCCTAAATATAGACGTAGATCTAAGTCTTTAGCTATTAACGTGTACGTGTACGAGTATTTTTCTTCACAAACATATTATCCGATGGACTGTTTGCTGCTCAGGCAACACTTAAATACTTAAGTCAAGATTTTAGCTTAACAATTAATTAATAAACAAACTCAATAATTGACATTAGCAACATTGTCTGGGGTCAAAGGGCTAAGAATTAGTTGTTCAAATGATTAATATGTATATTTAGCCGACTATTATATTTAGCATTCAACTCGGAGACTGGAGGACCTGCTCAACCAGAAGCAAATCGAGTTCATCTTTGATCTTTGACATTCTTCCATTCGTCTTCCCCTTATTTCTCACACAAAGCGAATTTTCTCTGTTATTTGGCATGCATATACACAATTTTATATAGTGCGGAGCATTTTTACCTGTTTGGTTTTTGTTTTGACCAAACATTTCCGCAAAGCTGTCGCATAAATTTGGCCAAAGATTTGGGAGCCAATTCACGTGATTGGCCACATTTGCATACAAAAATACGACGACAACATTTCAATTTAAATCTCAACCCAGTTGACGTCAAGTTTTCACAATTTTGTTTTTTATTTATTTATTTATATTTTTTTTTGCGTGCAATCTCGCTGAGCTGCACTTGTAGGCAATCCGTCGGCTGGCTATAAATATAGATGCGTATAAATAAAAGATACAAAACACAAAAACCGCGGCCAAGTTCAAGTGCAGGCAACGGTAAACGGCCAAAGTTGGGGCAACTGATAGCCGGTTAACCTTGGGCCCATACGCAAAATCTTCCATGTAAGCCGCCCGAGTCAGTCAACTGTTCGACGGATACTTATTATATGTATGCATGTAAGTGTGCAAGTGTGTACTAGAATCAAGTTGAGCAGCTTTTCTTATTGTCGTTTACGACAATGTTGTTTGGGATCAGGAGGCTGGTTCGAGCTCAAAGGTTAACTGAACAATCGAGTGGACTATATATTTAGCTCTGCCTTAGTCTATGTAGAATTTAAAAAGAAATAAGCTTTTTTTGATGATCACTTCCATTGCCGAAGGGGCAACTGCCCCCCACAAAAAGTTGCCTCGTCATGCTGTGAGGCTACTTAATGCGAAACTCGTTTAAGTTTTATGTCGGGATGATATAGACACAAAATGGGAAGTGTTTGTACATGTTGTACATAAAAAAGTGAGTTAAGTTCTTGTTTTACAATTTTCAAGTACTTTGATCTATTCATCTGGCTGGACTTTTGCAAGCACAATTAAGAGATCTACACCTTAATGTTTACTGCTAAGTATGACAAAGTTTTTACCAAGCGTATCTTCAATTCAGGCATATAAACAGTTGGAAAATAAGTCGCAAATATTTGTATATTATCTTAAAAGTAATAAGGAAATATATTTCACGAACCTCCGATGTTGACTGCCATTTGCTGACTAATATTGGGGCGATGTTAGAGGAACTCCTTAAATGATTGACAAGCCTCGTGCTTTAAATGCATCAATTATATTCAATTAAATAATTAAGGCATTAGTTTACAGTATGTAATAGTACACTGAACGATTTTTATTTATTTTTTAAACATTATTATTATTTTTATTTAAAATTTAACTTGCAGTTAAGACAAATATTTAATTTCTTGCATTCGATATTTTCTCTTTCTTTTTACAGTGCGTTAAGAATCGTGTTAATGGAAATTTACGTTTTTAAATGACTTCTAATTTTAGCTTAAAATATAAGCAAAGTAATACCAAAGCCAAAAAATAAAATAATTATAATAGTTACTGAAACTTCGGGGGAATTCTTTTTGACTCGAGCTCTTCTCGAAGTGTGTTTTTGATTAAAAATGAGCCCATTAAAATGCTGATACTACCATGGCTGTCAATAGGACTTAATGTTAGTAAATTAATCTTTAGATCGCCCTTAACAGCTCCAAATACGAATACTATATAATCACTATATAGTATGTGATTTGAACAGGTTATATTTGTTTACGGGATTGGAATAACTGGAGAAACTCGAGATGCTTTATGCATGTCATATTATAATATGTTGTGTAATATATTTCGGTTAATGTGCTACAATTGACTTAGGAACTGTGCTAGTATAAAAGCTAAGAAACACCCGAGAAATCATTTAGTTGCTGCTTTGAGTTCATTTGAATAAGTTAACAAATTTGATTGCATTGTGAAAATGTCGCGAATTTTTTTAAACGTCATCGTACTTTGTTCAGTTCTCGCTGTGCAGGCCGAGTTCCGTAAGCAAGGATCATTTATTCCCAAATGATTCCTTATTAATTTTACCAAATCCATAGCCAATGATCCGAAGCCTTGTAAATATGCCGATTCCGGTTGCATCGTCAAGATGATCAACTATTTGATCAGGGAAAAGGCAATGCAGGGCGATCGTGAGTTTAATTTGGTGAAACTTGATCCTCTGCCAGTGGCCAAGATGAACATAAAACAGGGCGCGGAAAGTCCAGTCAACATTGATTTAACGTTTAAGGATAACCAACTTCGCGGTATAAGCACAATGAAGTTCCGTAAAGTCAAGTAAGCCGAGAACGCAATTATAGAACTTATGAAATCCAAGTAAACAGCAACGCATTATTTCCAACGCAGAGGTTTCGGTAAGGATATTGCCAAAAAACACGAAATTCTGTTGAATGCGGGCAAACTATCCCTGGTAGGACCCTACAACATCAAGGGCAAGGTCCTGATACTACCCATTAGCGGTACTGGTGAGAGCAACATGACTTTGGGTGAGTTTCATTAGATAAGAAATACAACAGACAAATAAAATAATAATTAATGCTCTCATTAGTCAACTGTGATGTTGTGCTAGGCTTTACGGGCAAACCGTTTGAGAAGAATGGCGAGACCTACATGGAGGCGTCCAATCTGAAAATTACAACCAAGCCCGAGCGCATGCATTACTACTTCACCAATCTGTTCAATGGCGATAAGGCCCTGGGCGATAATATGAACGCGTTCCTCAACGATAACTGGGAAGCCATCTTTTTGGAGGTGAAGCAGTCGATGGAATCGGCATTCGCGGATATATTTCAAACAATTATTACGGATGTCTTCTCAAAGTATCCCTACGCTAAGTTCTTTGCGGAATGAATGCCATTTTAGCACCTAAGTTTGTTGTTCAGTTTTTTTTGTGTATATAGTTAAAGAGAATTATAATATAACAATAAATCCTGTCGTTGATTTAATTGCAACGATCCGCTAACATTGAATTACTCGGCGACAATTGTTGACCTAGATGTGAAATATAATTGACAACCTTAGATTCATTCATGGCAAAGATGAAAATAAATATTTAAACAAATTGCAGGTAAACAACTCAGGAATTAATTAGTTGCAATTATCATTTATCGCCTTTTGAATTATGGCTATTGAGTTAACTGAACGATTCACTAATTGAGCTGTAGTTCCACCCTGGGATAGTCTATATATCCAGTTATTTTCAGTGCTGCCAGCTTTTGAGAGCCAAAAATAGCTAGTTTCAGCTGGAGAATCGGAAGCTCAATTCTTAAGAAGCTTTAAAAGTATTGAGATCTCATTGTTTTCGAGATTGGCTAACTTTTTACTCTTGAATTATTTAGTTAAATATATTTTTAATGCTGCTCAATCTAGTTTTAACCGTTTAAAAGTATGCCAAAATAATCGATTCGTATATATCTAGAGTTAGCTAAAAGTGATGTCGTTTTGCCTGTAACATATTGGAGAAAAGCCGACATATTTTCCTAAATCAGCATTAATCAATCAAGATCGAGTAAAAAGCTAAATTGGCAACACAGTTTTATTTATGACTTAATCGCCAGTCTGTCAACGAAAATAATTGGCAAAGGTTATTTAAAATGAATGTCGAGTATTCTCAACTTGAGATATTTGAAATTCATGCATATTATATGAAGCGAAATTAATCTTCGTACTTGCAATGCTCATGAATTATAATAATTTGCATTAGAAACTAAATAATATTATGGAAATATCAAGATCAGGGCAAAGCGTGAGTCATTCAGATATCGTGGAAAGTCAAGCATTTTTTTAATATATATTTATGAATCCAGGAAAGTGGATCACGCTCAATAGTATTGCATAATTCTATCATTTTATTTATATTCTTACCGACTTTGTAAATTCCTGTTGCCTATTTCTGTGGTGCCTGATTAAAAGGTCGAAAATATTAAATGCCGCCCGAAATAATGCTGTGAATTTAAAAATTGAGGCTTCTCAAAAAAGCTTTGATAAACAAGTAAGTAAGACAAAATTCGAATAATCAGGAATATTTTATATAGTCGGCTCGCGAATTACTTTCATACAATTTGATTCTGAAACCAAGAAAATAAAAATATAAATTTGGTGGCCTAATTCTTTGATAAACCAGGACAATGCTGATTCGATACTTTGACTATGACTGTAAAAGGAATTAAACAATAAAGAGTGCCCTAGCCGGGAGGGTCCGACTACCAAATATCCTGGCATAAATATGTCATTTCAACATGTGTAATTACGAATGGTCAAGATTATACTAGATCTAAAATTGATTTCTTTAGATTTGTTGGAGAATGGGAAAGGTATCCAAAAAGTTAAATATTCTGGATCTCTCTCTCTCTCTCTCTCTCTCTATATATATATATATATATATATATATATATACTAAACGAGAGTCTACTTAGCAAAGTAAGTGTCTCCGAGATATTCTAAAAAAAAACAACAGGATTTTGATATCGATTCTTATCGATTTTATGAGAACAGGGCAAGTTATCGATCATTTGAGATCGGCGCGCACAAATATATGGACGGAGAGACGGGCAGCCAGAAAGACGGACATGTCCAGATGGATCGGCTATAAATGCTGAGTTAGAATCTATATAATTTATATATATACTCCTTGATCTGTTCACAAAACCAATTTAGCCTTTTTACCCGTCTTCAAGGTTCGTTAATTATGAATAAATATTCTCGTTTAATAAAACAATAAATTACACTCACAGTATTACGAAATGTTAAACTATTAAATGCAAAATTGATCAGAAATATTGAAATGTTAATCCTAATGTGATATATACGAATATCTCTTTGCGCCGATTGCACTCTTTCCAGAACCTCCGATATCGACTGCTGCTTGCCAACTGAAATTAGTGTGATGCTAGAGAAACTCCTTCGATAATTATTGAATTGGTAACTGGGTGCTGTAAACACATCAATTAGATTCAATTAAAGAATTATCGCGCTAGACGAGAGTAGTTTTCATTCGACTCGCCTAGACCATAATTGGTCTCCTGTTTTTCTGGAACCCATAACAACGATAGAGGAAGCATTTAGTTCCTACCCAAGGCACGGAGGCAGTCTATCTAAAGCGGATCCCTGAAACTTTTGCGAAATCCCATTCTTGTGGGAAACTTTTTTGTTTACCATCCGATCGTCCTCAAACTTTTTATCAAAGATCTTCTTGTACAAATTAACTTGAGGAACTATTTCACACTTTTTTGTTAAATCCATTCTTCCTTGTTGGAAATTCGGGGCAAAAGGTTTAGTGGGTAAATATTCGGGTTCAAATGAATTTCAAAGGTTCTTTTTGAAAAATCATTTAATACGTGTTTTAAATTTTTTCGCAGAGTACAAGCTTATTCGGTGCAAAATGCGATCGAATGATTTTTTGGGTGAAGTTTTGTCCGATCGACCTTAAACTTATTTTTAAAGCCCTACTTAAGAAATTAATAATTACGTTTTTTCGGCTTCAAACTCATTTTCAAAGATCTTTGTGAAAGTTTATTTGATAAGTTATTTTTTTTGCAAAATTGAGTCCAACATTCGATTCCTTATACACGATGGACTTGAAACTTATTTTTAAATATCTATGTAGAATTTAATTTAATTATTATAATTTAAAAATGCAGTTCGGGTTAGTATCAGTAGATTTAAATTTTATTCCGCCAAGAATTGTAAAGTTTTATATAAAATGTAAAGCATAAAACTTGGCACGGGCAAGGCCGGGAAATATGCGATAGATTATAAGAAAAATAGTTGAAATAAAATGATGCCATTAAATTAGTGCAACTACTTTTTACCAGACTGTCAATAAAATTAAGTGCTAGTAAAATAATCCAAAGACCAAATACGAGTACTATATGCGGTTATATAATATATGATTAAAACAGGTTCTATTTGTTTACGGTGTAAGTTATTCATAATGCTCAAAGCATCTAATTTTGTTAATGTGCCACAATTGACTTAGTTACAGTCCAACTAGTATAAAAGCTAAGAAACACTCGAGCAATAACTTAGTTGTTTCCGTACATTCATTTGAATACGTCTTTAAGTTGTGTATTATATTGTGAAAATGTCGCAAGTTGTTTTAATTGTCGTACTTTGTACAGTTCTCGCTGTGAGAGCCGATTTCCGTAAGCAGGGCTCATTAAATCCTAAATGATCTCTTGTTAATTTTACCAATCTATAGCTGATGATCCAAAGCCTTGTAAATATTCTGATGCCAAGTGCATCGTGAAGTTGGTCAACGAGCTGATCAGCAAGAAGGCAACGAAAGGCGCTCCTGATTTCAATCTGATGAAACTCGATCCTCTGCCAGTGCCCACGACGAATGTGAAACAGGGCGAGGACAGTCCAGTCAACATTGATTTAACGTTCAAGGATAACAAAGTCCACGGTATAAGCACAATGAAGATCCGTGAAGTCAAGTAAGAATGAGATGAAATCATAAATATCACTTGCTAGCGCACATTATTATTTCAAATGCAGAGGTTTCGGCAAGGATATGACTCATAAGCACGAGCTGCTTTTAAATGCGGGTAAAGTATCCCTGGTGGGACCCTACACAATCAAGGGCAAGGTCCTTATACTGCCCATCAACGGCGATGGCTTGAGCAACATGACATTGGGTGAGTTTCATTAGAAAAGAAAGACAACAGACAAATACTTATAATAATTAATGCTCTCATTAGTCAACTGTGATATTGCGCTGAGCTTTACGGGCAAACCGTTTGAGAAGAATGGCGAGACCTACATGAAGATAGCCAATCTGAGACTTACGGCCAAGCCCGAGCGTTTGTATTACCACTTCAGTAATCTGTACAATGGCGATAAGGCCCTGGGCGATAATATGAACGCGTTCCTCAACGATAACTGGGAAGCCATCTTTTTGGAGGTGCGACAGTCGATGGAATCGGCATTCGCGGAAATATTTCGAACAATTATCACGAGCGTCTTCTCAAAGTATCCCTACGCTAAGTTCTTTGAGGAATGAATGCCATTTAAGTACCTAAGTTTGTTGTTCTCTTTTATTAAATCGATCAAATCTAGCCAGCGAAATTTTGAATAGATAAATGTAAAAATAAATCATAATTACTAGAATAATTACAGATATCTATTACTATTTAATTACTCCGCGACAATTGTTGACCTAGCTGTGATATATACTTGACAATCTTAGATTCATTCATTGGAAAGAGGAAAATAAATATTATTTCATCGAATTGCAGATAAGTAACTCAGGAATTAATTAATAACAATTATCTGCGTCTGGTGAGTTATCGCCGCATCATTATTATTACAGGTTATGTCTTGAGCTTTAATCGAACAAATACTGTTAAATATCTTTTATATCTGTTAAGTTATTATATAAATAAATTAGATACATTTTAGCTGATACACAGTTCATAGCTTCAAGATAATGATAATTTAACTTCTTGCATGTGCGTGTCAGAAAGCCAAACATATTTTTAAAATAAAATGCGAATTGGCAGCACTGATAAAAAGTGTTGCCAACTGCCGCTGCAAGAAATTAGTTGGCAAGGTGGTCCGTTAGGATTCGAAAGGCGGACGGCTGTTGGAAAGGTCAAATTTTTGTTTTTATCAATTATTTTGCGTTTACACTTGAAATAGCTAAAAAAAAAAAATGATCAATTTTCATGCAGTGCTTGAACTCTGGATTATCCATCCAAGTAACCCGAAGCTTCTATACATTTATTTATTTATTAACCAATGGTAGCTTTCAGGTTATCTTAAATTAAATAATATTATCTTAAACAGAAAATAAACACCAAATATGAAAGTAACCCGAAGCTTATGCCTATATTAAATAATTTATTTTACTGGCTACCGAATATTTTTTCGACATAACTTAAATAAAATCACTTTGGATTTAGCTAGAAAACAGCTGAAATTACAGCACTGCTCATTAAACTTAGATATATAGGAAAAAACTAATATTATCGCTAATTCATTTGATTGATTCATTAATTCACTGATTCTATAGCCGACAATACCTAACCTTGTAAAATATAAACTAAATAAACCAATTAAGATATCGTGAGCAGTAATCGCTTGAAAGTATTGCATAGTATTCACATATAATTTATTTTATTATTTCCGTTGCCTATTTCTGTGGCGTCTGATTTAAATATCGGGAAATTAAATGCAGCCCAAAATGATGCTGTACACTTTTCAAATAAAGTTTCATTAGAAAAGCAGCAATTATTGCGGAAGAAGATAAATTAAATTTGAAGTGGATTTATTTATATAGCATTAGTTACTGAAGTTTGTGCCTCGGATATTTCTTCCTTCCTTCTTCTTCAAATGTGGACAATAATTCAATCCACTTCAAGCTAACTTCCACATATATACATAATGCACTTTTAAACAGTTGAAATTTGCAAAAGCTGAAAAGCTGCTTAAATTTGAGGAAAACGATAAGGCCGGAAAACTTCTGTCAGTCCCTATAAATGAGAGGTAACAAATCAAACTTGGTGTAACTAGATTGAATAGTCTCTGGAACAAGAAAAATAATCAATCGACTTGGCTAATTACTTACTCATCCAGATTATAAAGTCGACTCGGGAATACCTTGTTGCCGTACATTTTGATTCTGGAACCTAGCATAACCCCAGTATACGAGAAAGCTTTGTCAGCTGGAAACAAGGAATTCAGTAATAAAATCACGACAATTTACAAGCTGCATTTAATTGAGATCACTTAAATAGGTTAAAAGGCGAAGGGAGTTCCCAACTTTAGTCCGAGAAGCTTGCCGAAGAGTAAATACACTTCAAGCTAGTTAATTTTGCTCCTAAGCCCAGACACTTCATATTCTAATTTGACAGAAAGATTTAAATAGTCGTTTCTATGGTGCTTTAACTCTTTGGTAAACCAGTTCAAAGCGGATTCGAGCCTTTGATTAAAATCATAAAAAGGCAATAAAAAATATTAGTCAAATGTGGCAAATATTCTCGTTAATTCAAGCAAGTGCAATAGACCAGAAACAAAGTAACACTTTGTTGCGGATTAACAACAATTTCAGTTCAAAGGGCATATTGAAAACTTTATGAAAATTATTTTTCCATTTCACACGGCTAGTTTTACCAAGTAGCTCCAAAAAAAAAGATACCCTGTAGTAGTTTTGGGAAATCTAAATCTACTACACATTCTCAAATCAGCAAAATATTTGTGAAGCTGTGTTTTTATTTTAAGGATTTTTAGTTTAATATTTTTTCTTGAATATTTACAATTTTTGAGGAACTTAATTTAAAATATTTAATACAGCAATTTAAATATGTGTTGTATCATGAGCTTATTCAGAAAAGGGAAAGAAAAAATGGAGTTGCATGGCCTGGTCGACATGCAACTATATCGAACCGCTCGTACTTTTGCTATAGGGTATAAGAAAGTGTATTCCCATAATTTGCCTAAGTGCAGGAGCACGGAAAGTCAATGCCAAAACGAGACGAAAATTAGTTTTGTGTTTAACAACGTTGGAATAATAAGCTCGGATCAAATTTAAATATCGCAGTATAATAAATGTTTTAAAGCGTGTTCTCGAGAAACAAACCCTATAAAAGTGGACTCATCTGGAGCTAAGCTGATCAGTTAACTTTTCGAAGGCGGCTAAGCAAGCATATTAAAAATTACCTTAAAATGGAATATCATAAATTAGTCATTTCGCTATTGGTGTTAAGCTCTATGAATAAATACTCGCATGGATACGACCCCGATCTTCGTATGTCATAGCTAATGAATAGATTTTGCCACAATAATGTATTTGTTCTGGGCTTCCAGCCGCTGACATTCAAAAATGCACAATTGCGGATGAGAAGTGCCTATTAGATGGCATGAACTATGTGATCAGGAACTATGCCGCGACAGGCAGCAAAGGGCTAGGTCTGGTCCGACTGGATCCGCTACGTATCAAAAAGTTGAGCCTTGGCAAGAATCCAAATAGCCCGGTCAGCATTGATCTCAGCTTTTCCAACGCAGATTTGATCGGTCTCAGCGAAGCGCAAGTCCAGCGGGTATCGTAAGTTGAATATAATTATATATAGATGTCTATTAATTTTCAGCTGAATTTATAAATAATTTATACCCATACTCTTAGCGCCTTCACCAAAGATCTGAGTCGTCCCATTGTTTTCGATATGGCTTCCCCGAGAATAACGCTTAGGGGTCCATATAGCGTAGAGGGCAGGGTATTGATATTGCCCGTAGTCGGAAAAGGCAATGCCCAAATTGTCCTCGGTATGTACATCATTTCATAATTATCTAAATAATATTTGATACTAACTATGGAAATCGTAGAAAATTGTCAGGTGCATGCTGTCGTGAAATTGTCAACCGTGTCCAAGGGTCCTCACCAGACATATGCGGAGGTCACCGAAGTTAAGATGAGGTTGGAGCCGTCGCGTGTTATCTACAAACTTGACGGGCTATTTAATGGCCAGAAGGAACTAAGCGAAAACTTGCATGTGCTCATTAACGAAAACTGGCGTGAGGTATTCAATGAACTTAAGTCAGATATAGCCGGCGCTATGGGTCTGATCTTCAAAGCTGTTCTGAATAAAACCATTGGTAAACTGCCGCTCGAGCAGCTCTTCTCAGATCTTTAAGTTTAGCCAGTAGTCTGCATTTCGTTGTTAAGCTTAATTAAATTTATTTTTATAAAACAATAAAATGAACAAGTTTTGTTCCTATCAAAACTGGATTGACTGACCTATAGTTGCTTTTAAAATGGTATAAAAGATTACAAAGATGTAGTTGAATAGATTATTAAATCTAATTACATTTTTTTCTTGTTTTGCGGACAAAAATTAACAAGGTTCATACGACTTTTTAAAATCAAAATAAAATCTTAATGCATAACAATTATACAGCTTCTGTATATATGTTCAAAATGAAACATTATGTATAATTATTTCTTATTAAAATAACAAGCTTTCTTCAATGCAAGATTTTTTCGTTTGGTTAATAATACATTTACATTTTCCCATGTGTTGTAGATAGTTTTCAATGATAATTATAAATAATGATGCAATCCGTTAAGCTTATAAAATGTCTATCAATTTTTTGTATTTTCTTTATATGTTAGACCTTAACTGTCACTTTTGTGAGTTTTGATTAATTAATTTTAATATTTAGTCTCAATTCCTCAAAGCTCTAACCTCGGTTACACTTTGGAACATGGGAGCGATGACTGACTCTTGGCGGGGATGAAGGCGCCACTTCGAGAATATCGCCACCAAAGACTAAATGCTCCAAACTATCTACAGCCTCATAGGCAGAGACAGGTGGGATTTGTGGCAGCTTGCTGATATTCTTGGGAGGCTCGCACAGGGCAATGATCTCTGGTGGAAAGTAGTTTTCGGGCGACTGCAGCAGTGCTGTTAGAAAGTCCTCGTTTTCTTTGGCGCAGCTGACAACGTTCTCCAGCTGATAGTGTTTAGCTATTAGCTTTTCCTCGAAGCTAAATTCACGTGGCTGACTTGCCTGAAACTCAGCAGCAGCCAATGCCAAAGCTCTCTTATTCGTCTCCTCGAGACGTGCTGTCATGGACGCAGAATAGCGATGCTCGATATCCATTTCCCAATTAAAAACGTATACGTGAATATGAGCCGATTTGATACGTTCACGCAGATTAAGCAGCAGCATTTCCAGCAGAACAGCATTGTCTACAATATAAGAACTTAATCCATATCCCAATCTTCATGTCTAAGGAGGAACTTACCATTAGCCAAACGGCTGATAAACTGAAAATTGCGTTGACGCAAATCCACATTTGTGAACTGCTTGAGAGCCTGTTGCCCATCCGAGGCGCTATTGAGTAGCCCATCGCATTCAGTATATTTGGTGTAGTCGAAGTGGCGATTGGTCTCCAGGATGCGACGCTGGCGTGCAATAAAGCGCTCCAGTTTGGTGCACAGCACCTGTACTTGATGGCGTATATTGCAGCCTTTGGGCATTGATTGCTTTGTGGGCAAGTCGAAAACATAATCGGATGGCATCGAGTTTAGCTGATGACTTGGCAATTCTGAATTAATGTGCTCATGCATCGACTTAAATAAATCCATCAGACGCAGCATAAGATTACGTTCGGTGCTGTTAAGATGAATATATTAATTCCGTTGTTATTGGGAATTATGCTATTGCAGCACTCACCAATTGCCCAACAGCTCAACAGATTGCTCGATGGCCAGCGCGCCACACTCATCCTGATGCCACAAGTTCTCCTTCTGCGGTTGCCTTTTATTTTGGCGCGCAACAAAATGACCTTGAACATTCGATTTGGACTTGTTTTTGACGGCGCCGTCGTTCGAGCAGAGCAGACGCTTGGGCAGACCCAACGACTGAATGCATCCAAATCCATGAAACTCAAATTGTGGCGCATTCGAATCTAATGTCAATTCGTTTACCCTGTGATTGAGTTCTTGCAGCACGCTTCCAGCGCCGCTTCTCTTGCCGTTCGTTAACTGTACGGGACGCGACTCTTTGTCATCGACCAATGAGCACAGTTCCGAATTTAATAGCTGCAAGTTATTGTATAGCTGTTGATCTTCAGCGTCTGCCACGTTTAAATTCATATTTAATAGCTTTAATTAGTTTAGCGCCAAAAAATCACAACGGTTTTCACTTCGCTGGCGAAAAAACTACGCGGGCGCCAAGCTGTCTGCACTGCGAGTTTTACTTATATACTGAACGTAACGTTGTGTGCAACAGAATTAAAATCCGCGCGAAAGTTCCGCCTGCCGCCGAGCTGTCTCGTCTGTTGGTCTAGCGATGATCGATTACCTATCGATATCTATTAATAAGTATTCGTATTGCCAGAATAACAGCGCCTGTCCGTTAACCTTGACTTGGCAACACTTTAAATGTAAAAATATCAAGTACTCTGTTAAGACTAATTGACAGACACACAGAGCTGCCTGATCGATTGCAGACTTTTTTAAATGCATCCATTCGCCCCGTTTAACAGCACGGTTTCTTTGGCAACAATATTTGAATAAAACTGTTCCCAGTTTTCATGCCACATATGTATTTTAGTTTCCCGATGCGTTCTAGTAATAGAGGTATTGTGCCTTTGGTATGTTTATTGAATTTATTTTAAATATTTTACTTTTGCATGATATACATAAACAGTTATATGTTTTACATTGTACATTTTTCAATATATGTATGTATATACTTAATATGTATTATTACTTGTAGTTATATTTGTATATGTGTACGTATTTCTTATTCAAACGGTTATGTTTATTATATGTTTAACAAAATTTAAAACAAAATAGAAACAAAACCATTTTAGTTTGAATAATCACTACTAAATTGTTTTTTATATTCTTCTATTTGATTAATAATTATTATTGCTTTAATAATAAACAATAGACGATTATATATTAGTTAAAGCTACAACTTAGTGCGCATTCTTGTACTTCAATTAAAGACACTACAACAAAGATGACATAAACAATAACAAAAATGTATTATGATGTATTATTAACAAAGAATTGTTGTAAAAAAATTGGTTTGAACAAATACAAAGAATAGGATTTTCACTAATTCATTTTCTTTTATATCACAAGTTAAAATTTTGATTATTGTTTGGTCGATTTTTTTTTTGTTTGTTAGACATATGTATATATAATATGTATGTATATGAAATGTTTGTAAATTGTATGTATTTATTAATGTATGTATTACATACATAAGAAAATATGTTAATGCCGTAATTTAAAAATTAACATATTTTGTATAGTTTTATTTTTTTTAAATATTTTTTTTTAAATATACATATATAAATTGGTCTACACTCAAGTCATGATGTTTACTTAAATTGGTTTATCGTTAATAACAATTAGAGAGACACATACATTGTTAAAAAGTTTGAGTTTTTGGAAAATGATTATTATTTGTTAGAGATAACATAGAAATTCGAGTTAGTTGCATGCAGTTAGATGTGAAGTTTAAATATTTAACTTTATATATTAATTATTATATATGTTAAGATCGTGTTCAGATGTAGACTATATGACATACAAAGTTTTCCCAGCTTCAAGCATATTAAAAGAAAACTTTCAAATTGAGCATTTCACAGAAAAAGTAATTATCGCATCTCTTGGTAAACTTATAAATAAGATTATCAAAAGCTAAAAGTTGTTAATTTACAAAATAAAATATGACACCTGCTAAGTAGCTGATAGGATTCAATCAAGAAAACTTAGATTCTTGCTAAATGGCTGACTTTGGTTATATATATTTTAAATATATATGTATTTGTATATCTGAAGGATCTGAACACGATATATAGATTTGGTTATGTTCGAGTTTCCGCTAGAGCTGTTTACGTATCAATTGCTAGCCTAAGTTCAGACCAACGACTCTCTGACGTTGCTGTTTACCTGTAAAATAGTTGCAGACACTTGCATAAGTATGTTTATGGGGTATTTAGCTATTTATGAATTAGTTAGATAGTTGTGCCAAACACAATATAAACTTTAATATGAGTAACGCCATACAACAAAAATTGAGAACAAAAACCAAATCAGTATTATTGCGCTCCTCAACAGAAAGAGCGAAAAAGCTAAAAGTAGAAGGTACTCTCCGCTTCGGCTTTATAAGGGCAGTATAGTCATATCGACCAGCTTTGCTGAAGGCAGGCTGGCGACTAACTTCGTTGCTCGTGTCGTTCGGCAATCATTCGTCTGGCTTTTGGAGAGCGAACAGCCAGTCGGCTGCCGTGTCGTGTGAAGTGGGAAAAGCCAGATGAGAAGCCAGGCTAGGAATTTTGCGTCGCATTCAAATGTATGGGCGCGTTACTTTCATCTTAGTGTTTATATTGTCTTTGGCTGTGTATATATACGGGCAAACGATATGCTGTGGTTGTGTTCATGCTCATGCTGTTGGTTGGGATCGTGCGTTGTTTGCATCTAGGGCGAAAAGACGCGCAGGCTGCGCAGCAGCGTGGCCAGCACATTGGCCAGGCATTCGGCTTGCAGCGCCAGCTGGCCAGCGCCAATGGGTCCGATCTGTACGCTGACCAGCTCGCGGAAACTGCTTGCCACATCGTGCACCTTGAGCACAATGTTGCGGGTCTGCAGTGGCGCCGATGTGTGCCGTGTCATGTCCTGTGCCAGCTCCGTGATACGCCGGATGGCCGTCAGGCAGGACGTCAGGTGATCGGGCAGCGTTATCAGCGTCATATCGGACATGGAGGCGACCAGAAATTTGCTGGCCGTGACCAGGGCCAGTGTCTGTTCCGTTAGCTCGTTGCGGGCACGCTGGAATTTATCCTCATCGATGCTGGTGCCGCCGCCGGCAGACTGTGCGGCCGAGCATTGGGCGGCCACCTGATCCAGTTTGATGAGCAGGCCGGCCATGGCCACATCGGTTTTGGCCAGCAGCGCCTCGCCGTCGATGAGGTGGCCGTTCTTGATGAACAGCTTCTCGCCATGCAGCTGCTGGGGCTTCTTTGGCAGCGCCGGCTGGCCGCCGTTGGAATGCGCATTGGGTAGGCGGGCTGTGGCCGGTATTGGCGGAGTTGTTGTTGTTGTGCTGGCGGGTATGGGCGTGCCATTTACGGGACGTGGGCGACTGGCAATGGGCGGCAGCGGGGGTTTCTTGGGCGCACTCACCGCTGATGTGGCTGCTATTGCATTTGGAATCGCTGTCTGCGGCGTAGCCGGCTCCGAGCTGGTTGTGCAACTGCTGCGTGGCGGAAGCTGTGGGGGGCACAGCTCACGCAATGGCACACTTACCGGTCCAACGATGCGCACCTGCTTTTTGGGTGAGTAGCGCTGCAGCAGCTCGGCGCTTTTCGGGGGACGCGCCGGCGGCGGAGTCATTTGCTCCGTGGTGGGTGTGCGTGGTGGTGGCTGCACTGGCTGCAACGGCTCCTCGGGCGGGGTTGCGTCCTCCTTCTTGGATGTGGGACAGCAGCTGAATTTGCTCTTGCGCTCCACGGTGGGATACTCAATGACGTGCGGTGTCGGCTCCTTGTGGTTGCTGTTGTTGCCATTGGCCACAGACTGGAAAAAATCACGTTTGGCTTGCACCGAGTTGCTGTACAGGCATTCCGCCTCGGGCTGCGTCTCTAGATTTGGTGGCGGCGGTATTATAAACGACATTATCTCCTCGGGCGTCAGCTCTTTGGCGGGCGTGGCTTTTTGTGTGGGCGGCGCCACCAGCATCTGCTGCAGAAAGCTATCCAGCTCCTCGGCCCTGCCCTCAAAGCCTTTGGGCGGCGCCGCATTCAGCAGCGATAGCGAGTCCAGCTCGTCGGGCGTCTGGGGCGGCGGAATGGCACGCAAATCAATTAAATCCGTATCCGTCTCAATGAACGTATCCTCACGCACCTCGAAGCCGTAGATCTCGGACAGCTGGCGAGCGGCCACATCTGTGTCCGCGGCGGGCACATTGCTTATCTCCTTCAGCTGTTGCAGATACTCGCGCAAATTGTAGTCCTTTGTCTCGGCGCCAAAGTGACTGCCGTCGGGACTGTGCAGCCCGAAGCTGCTGCGCTGCGCCAGCTGCTGCTTGATGCCCGCCTGGAGCAGCTGCTGTGGCCGCCGGGTCGTTGGCGATTGCGCTGGCGAGGCCACCGACTCGGAATCGCTCTCGCTCTGCGACAAATCCGTGCCCAGCGCTTGCAGATCGCTGAGCAACTGACTGAAGCCGTTCAGTTTGCGCTGTGGCCGTGGACTGGAGGTGCTGCACAGGCTGGGCTTGCGCTTGGGTGTGGCGGGCGTGGGCGGTGCCGATGCTGACACCGGCTCCGGAATGGCATTCAGTCCCTGCGTAATGCCGGTCAGCTCATGGCTAATCGTCTCCGCCAGCAGGGTCAGCGAGTCGCTGTGCTTCAGCGAGGGCGTGCCAACGCCGCCCGTTTGGTTGACGTTTGTCTCCTCCGTGGAGGAGACTTTGCTGCTGTTTAGGCTGTCGCAGTCACTGTCAAACTCCAGCATGGCCACGCCATGGCCCAGCTGCTGTTGCTGCTGCTGCGGTCTGGGCATTTGCTGCAGTTCCTGTTCTTGCTCGTTCAGATACTGCTCGGAGCATTGGACGAGCTGCTGTAGCTCCTGCACGCGCCGCAGCACCTGCTCGTTCTTGGCCTCGACGGCAAGCAGGCTGCGTCCCTCGCTGCAATAGTTGCTGCCGCTGCTGTCGCTCAGGCCCGAGTCCTTGGCCGCCTCCTCCAGCAGCTCGGTGGCCATTACGCTGTGCAGATCCAAGTCCGTTGCATAGGGCAGCGCCTGCGGCTGGGCGGACAACTGCTGTGCGGCCGGTTGCTGTGACAGCACCGCCTGATGCGGCATGGGATGATATGGCGGCGTCACCAGAAAGTTAACGCTATGCGCACGGGTATGGAAGGGCAACAGATAGCTCCAGCTAGCGGGCAGCACGGTGTGCTGTGACAAGAAGGCGGGTGCATTGTCCTCCTCGTGCGGTTCACGCTCGCGCAGCACATTCAGCATGTTTCCTGCAAGAAAATCCACATTGAGCTGCCATCCGGTTTGGTCCAATGCGTTATCTTACCTGTGAGCAGGCGATAGTAGCCGCTCAGCACCAGACTAAATTCGCAGGCATCGCGATCCTCCATTATAAACTTGACAGCGCGATCGCCCAGCATGTAAATGGATACGCTGCAGGTGATGTCGTCCTCGCGATGCACCACCACGTGCGTAAAGTCCTCTATGGCCGATATGGGCTGTGGCTGTGGCAAAAACAAAAGGCTAGGTTAACAATTGGCGACATTGTTGATGGAGCGTCGACTGACCACCGAATTCCTGGCACTGGATATTTGACTTAGGCCGAAGCGTGGACTCACGAGCAGAACGCGTTCCATGCCCTCTCTTTGGTTTGTGCTGAAACATTTGGCGCCGTAGCTTGGTAAACTAGCGATTATATCTAGATAATGGAGTTTCGCCTGCAAGGAAACAAAGTATTTTTTTAAGTTTTTATTTAGTTTCAATAATGGCTAGTATCATATAAAAGATTTACTATCATTCTGTTAATGGCATCCATAAGACATTAATTTATATTTCGCTTCCTATTGAATATGGCTTAGTGGGTGGAGAAACTATTTTAAAAATTATGTATTCATAATATATAATGAGTAAGCGATAGACCAGGGATTAATTTCTACTTATTTTTTCTCCTAAAGTCATTACAAATGGGTTAAAAAGGTATAATGTATGTGTGCCAATGTATGTATGGCAGAAGGAAGCATCTCCGACGCCATAAAGCACATATATTCTTGATCAACATCAATAGCCGAGTCGATCTAGCTATTTCCGTCCGTCTGTCCGTCCGCAAACCAATTTATATTGCCCACCAATTAAGGCCACAGTTTGAATGCAGTTGACTTTTTGAGAATATACAAATATTCTAAAGTACAATAAGATCTACTGTTGAAAATTTCATACAGATCGGTTAAGAAATACAGAAGATATTAAAGTTAATATTACATTGGCAGCCTACGTGTCAGCGGCAGCTACCGCAAACACACGCGCGTCTTTATTGAATTCTATCAACAGCATTGCAAGTGTTGGTATGACTGTTGAGTGGAGGCGGTTGCACGTAGTGCAGAATGTTACGGGTTCGAGTCCTATCAAAGGAACTGCTTTTTTAGTATTTTTTTTTTATTACTTTCTGATTTTCATAGCATTGAGTTACGTTAACAAATTGTTTTGGATCTGCTTACCTGCAGCTGGGTTAGAACCTTGCTGGAGGAGCCCGTCATCTCCGCATTGAGCTTCAAGAAGTGAGAAATGAGCCGGCGCAGCTCCTTACGTTTCATGCCCTCGAACAGACTGACGGGCACAAAGCGTTCCAGACCGAACTCACGCCTAGAAAGGAGACCGAAAAGTGGTTATGGAATACAAACTAAAGGGGAACTCTGTGAAAAGTTGACTGGGTACTCACTCGACCAGCTTGACGGTTAGCTTGGCGGGCGCAAAGTTGTTGGCCAGCGCATGCTGATGCATGTGCAGGGCGGCCAGACGTAGTGCCAGCTCTGGCTGAAGCTCCGGTGCAAAGCGCTCCTGGTTGACATCGTTGCAGCACTGCATGTACAGATAGTCCAGAGCCTGCAGATCTCTCTGTGCCAGCTCTGCGGCCGAAATGGGCACAAAAGTTATGCGAAACAGGCAGCGCAGCTTGTGAGCGCCCGGCCGTGCAGCAATCTGCAAAATCGAAAAAAAAAAAAAATCATTAGCACGTGGCATATGAAAGTGGGCTGATTGGACTTACGCGTGCCAGCGACTCCTGCGGATCGAGTAGCGTGAGCTTGTTGCGCTTTAGACTCTTGACATGCTCCAGCACCAGGCTGAAGAGTTCGCCGCAGCACAGGCAGAGCTTGTCCAGCAGCGAGCTGACCACGTCCTGCACGGTTGTGGTGGCATCATACTTGAATGACTTCGTCTGGCCGTTCTCCAGAAACACCTTGAGCACATTCGCCATGGGCGGCACACAAATGTCGCCCAGCGAGAAAGCCGATGGCTGTTGTGAGTGGGAGGCAGGAAAAGCAATTAAATATAAGCCGTGCCAGCCTACCGACTGCTGCACCTACCGGAAACAGTGGCGCTCCATTGACGCACACGCTCTCCGCGAAACGCACACGACTGGGACGCGTGCGAAGCTTGGCCCGCTTGCCGGCTGAGAGCAGCGTGGACTTGCGACCGGGCAGCACACAGTGGGCCATGGGCTGGCAGACGAGCAGCGAGACCTGCGCCTCACAGGCGCGGACCAATTGTATGACATGATCGCGTGGCGCATCCTTGACATCCTCACCATTCACAGCCAGTATCTGATCGCCTGGCTGCAGCTTGCCAATGCTGGGTCCGCCCTCGGTAACAAAGCGCACAATCACCGGCCGTTCGCTGCCAGCCACAAATCCAAAGCCGAGACTGGCACTGCGCTGCAGCTGCACATGGCGCGGCTCTGGCGGATGCTCATCCCAACGTATGCACTCGGGCGCCTCATAGGTAGTCGTCTTGTTCAGATGGCTATTGGATGGGTATTGGATATTAAACTGGACAGCTCGATTTAGGTTGGGGTGTGTTCTACTCACTTGATATAGTAGGAACGACCCTTGGAATCTATGGCTCGCTCCCAACCATAGGAGAGCTCCTCATGCTTGCTCCAATCCTCGCAGGCGGGCAGCCAACCAGATGATTGCGTCAAATGGCTGTAAGCGAATTAAGAATATTAAGAGTTAAGATTTCCTTAATGGATTTAAAAAGGGGCAGAGCTGATTGATTCCGATACAAGAGCTTAACACAAGGCTGCAAGTCGGATCTCGGAATCCCATTTATTTATTTTTTAAGTTTTAGGCAAAACCTTGTATAAAGAATAGCCGAACCGAAACCCGATCTAAACCATATTTATTTTGGTTAGGAATATAAAACTTCTAAGGAAGACCCAGCCACAAACCTTAAATAGCTTGGGAGCCAATCAATGGGATTTATCTAAGCATATTTTGGCCAGGTATCGCGTAATTTGTTGATATTCGAAAATGAATAATTAATTACAGTGGAACGGAACAGGTAAGAGCCTCTAGTCGGGAGTTGCCGACTAGCTAGCTGCCACCAACACGTGGGCAGCCGTTTTCTTTAATAACTTCTGTGTTTCCTAACCGATTTTGATGAAATTTTCAACACGAAATCTTAATATGCCCTAGAATATTCGTATATTCTCAAAAGAACAATTGCAATATAATTGTGGCTTAAATTGGTGGGCAATATAAATTTGTTTATTTATTATACTTGATTTCTAACTATGCTGTGGTGGCGGGGAGGTGGCTCTAGCTCTAGCTCTAAAAACCTAACAGGATTTCGATATCGATTTGTATCGATTATTTGGAAACGGGGCAAGGTATAGATTATCGGAAACAAACTCGTATTGCGCGGGAGCAAATACGTTCAAAATTTCAAGTCTTTAGCCTTTATAGGTTCTGAGATCCGGACGGACAGACGACAGACAGACGGACATGGCTAGATCAACTCGGAGATGCTTCCTTCTGCCTGTTACATACATTTGCACAAATACATTATACCCATTTATCCATTTTTAATGGATTCAGCGTTTAATAAGAGCAAGGTGTTGGCACAATCCACAATTGGTTTTGTAGCTCAGGCTTAATACAGCCTTCAAGTGCGTTTAATATCTTGTGCGACTATCCGAATCTGCTTACACTTGACCTTGAACTTGTCGACAATCCCCCAAGCTCTGCATCCCATCGGGATGTGGCCCATTTTATGTACAGTCTGAGAAAATGCATTTCAATTGAGATTAATCAACACTAATTGGGTTATGTGCTTGGTTATGCAACAAAGTGCAGCCATATTGGGGCCAAACCAGGACAGTACCGGCCCAGCCCCAATCCGTGACCCAACCAAGCCCAAGTCAAGCCACCTTGGTGGCTTCCGTTGCTGTCTCTCTTCATTACCTAGCTGCACACAATTGCGATAATTAGTTTTGCACTTTGCTCGAGAGCCGGGAGCCGAGAGCTGGCAGCATGTGGTGCGCTTGGGTAACCCAGTGCCGGTGGAACCGTAGTCAAGCCCAACCAATGCTCATTCGTTCAGGCCAGGCAGACAGCTGTCCCCCAATTGCCCATATTGCCCGCTTAGCGTCGCCCTCACGCTCACGCTCACCCTGCCACGCCCCGAGCTCTTATGGCATTTTGTACGCTTTCAGTTTGATGTGCAACAAAGTGTAAAATTATTTAATAGAATTTCGTGCATAATCAATTTATGTGCAGCAGCCAGGCATTCATAGAGGCAGTCAGCCAGTCCGATAGTCCGACCGTCCGACCGTCAGCCCGTCCGCCCTGACCCGACCCGGCCCGGCCCGACCCTTTTGAAAAGGACACACTCGGCTGAAACAAAGGCCATGGTGTTTAACTTAATAATGCTCTGTGAACAATGCGAGTGCACATTTCAAGGTTTCCATATAAAATTCTATATGTGTAAATAATATTATAATACATATAGTAAATGAAATTGTTGCAGTTAAATTTCAATTTTCTGTCACCTTCAACTGAGTTATTTAAGAGATAATTAAGGTTTATAAATTAAAATAATATTAAATATAATATTCATATAATAATTACACAATATTTAACACAGGAGCCAAGCAGAAATAGCAGCTCTCTAAATATATATTAAACATTCTAGACTCATGCTGACTATATATGTAGATGCTTTTTATAGTTAGAGTTCTCCAAATATTGTTTAAATCAATTTAAAAGAACTGCAAAGTCAACGTCTTGAATAACTATTATAAGTTTCGAAATCTTAAAAGTCGGCAAGTGGAACAGTTTGGCTATAGATGTATTTTTTATATTTAGTCTTCGTAAATTCCTTCCCGAATATTAATTTGGCGTCAAGTATTATTTACTTCATTTAAGTTTACTTTATGAAACTTTTGTTTACTCTATAGGATAAGTTTACTTTAGTGCGGTAAGCATTTTGCATTAAATTTATGATGCCCTCGAATCGAGTATTAAAAGGCCAAAAGCCTACGCTAATTAAGTTCAAATACCAATGAAAACATAATTAACCCAAATATGCATTACGTATACGTATACATGCATAAATATCCTCGGGCTGTTTGCACTTAAACAATAATCTATAAATAACAAAAATTCTTTTTAAGGTATTGTATATTATTTTCAGCTAATTAATAATAAATATTTTGCGTTTTTTCCAAAAAATTTAATCAGTCAATAGGTCAGCCAACAAGACGAGTAAATAATTAAAATACACTTCAGTTAAAATATAATTATTTAAAGGAGCTGCAGGCCAAAGAAAAAAAGTCTGTGGTTCGGGTTTCGCTTTGAACTTTTGGTTCAAATCTGGGATAATCAAATATTTTTGAAATTTTAATGTGAAACAACTTCATTTTTATGCATAGTTGCCCGTTCTACTGAAAATATTGCAAGTCGCAGATATTTTTATAAAAAGTTATACAGACTAAATTTGTACTCTACTCAAAATTGGCATCTTCTAACTTTGGTAAGAAAAATCCAAGCCAAGCCATTAATGCTTTGGGCAGAGTCTTCCTCCAAAGATTTTAAGCTGACCACATTTTTTTATATTTCGCTTCGGCTTCGGCTTTAAGGTTCGGATCGTAGTAAGAAACAAATCGGAAGTCGGGTTCAAAGCGGTTCGATTTAAAACTGGTTTGCAGCCTTGTTTTTATTATATCTAAATGCATTAACATATACATATATATATATATTTACTTACTTGCAGTAATAGAGTCTGCCATCCTTGCCCACATGGACTGTCCAGCCAGCTTTGAGTTTCTCCTGGACAGCGTCCAGGTTTCGATCAATTTCGCCCCAATTTCCGATGGGCACGCCGCTCGCATGACTCGTACCCAGAATTGGGGCATAGATGCTGCCAGTCCCAAAACCCGAGTTGACAGCACAGTTCGCAGTTGCAGTTGTTGTTGTTGTTGTTGTTGTTGCGATTGCCGTAGTCGTTGTTGTTGTTGCTGTTGTTGTCGGTGAGGACGTTGACGTTGTTGTTGTCGCCTGTGTTCCGGTACCCGACAGACTTCCGGCCGTTTCTTGTGCTACTGTGACAGAGAAGGCGGCCGAAGAGTTGGAGCGGAGCGTCGCGTAGGCGTTGGCGCCGCCATTTAACATTGGCAGCGTCGTCGTCAGCTGGGGCGATGATGTTCTTGTCAGTAGCAGAGGCTTGGCCCCGCCCACGCTGGCCGTTGTTGTGTTGACATTTTGCAATGGATACACATCACTGTTCGAACGCCCCGAAGGCAGTAACATCATTGAAACACATTCGCTACAGAGGGTTAGAGAGAGAGAGAGGGAGAGAGAGAGATGCAGAAAGGAAGTTGAGTTGAGTCGTTGTCAGGCCATATTCACATATTGTACTCTCTTGTAAAAGCTGGCCACAAATCACATTGCACGACGTCGACCCACTTTTGCCAAACAGGCTCGTCTGGATATGCCGTGCCAGGCCAGGCCAGGCCAGGCCACGTCTGGCCGTGCCTGGATGGCCCCTAAGTCAACATATCAGCTGCATCTGCATTGGCATTGCCTTTTGCGTCAATGTTGCAGTTGCAAAACAGGTCTCGGCGCCACTCAAATCCCAGACTGAGATCACAAGCTGCCACATCGTGGGCTAGGTTCAGGTTCAGCAAAGCTGCTCGGGCCAAGTTGAACTGCTTGTTTGTAATGTTATGACACAATTTCGGATTTTGCCGGAGATGATTGCACAAGTCTGAGCAGGATGGAGGCGAAACTAGTTCAACAAAAGTCCATGAAATTAATCAGAGTAAGTAGCATAGCAGATCAAACTGGCAACTGGCTGCTATGTTTACAGTTAGCTTAAAATAAACTAGTTTAAAAGTTGAACGCATTTCAATTCATATGTGAATTGGCGCAGTAGATCAAGGACAACAAGCTGGATACCATTAGCAAAATTTGATTCTCTCAGATATATAATCTGCGAACATACTTAACCAAACCTATGCAAAATATAACTGATTGTGTGCGAAAGTTAAAGCTGACTGAGTGCTGCCAATTTTGAAAGCGATTCAGGGCTCAAAAACTTTTTTAGTTCCATTAAGTTATTTAGTTTACTTTAAAATCAAAGCTGATTGAGTGCTGACAATTTTCAAAGATTTGCAAAACCAGCTGCAGTATTCATGAATGCATTTAGTTATTTAACAAAATACATCAAAACATTGGTTTTAAAGCTGATTAATGCTGCCAATTTTCAAAGATATTCAGGGTTGAAAAGCGTTCTTAGTTATCTAACTAAAAGCAGTTCATATTTTTAGACATCAATATATACGCAAAAAGAGTTCTAGTTTTCACAAGAATTTTGTAATTTTTTCCCAAAAGCAAGTAAGACTGTTAGTCTACTTTAAAATCAAAGCTGATTTTTAAAGAGTTTCAGGGTTGAAAAGCGTTCTTAGTTATCTAACTAAAAGCAGTTAAGACATTTAGACAGCTACATATACGCAAAAAGAGTTCTAGTGTTCACAAGAATTTTGTAATTTTTTCCCAAAAGCAGGTAACCAAATGCATGCAGTCAGTTAGTCTGCTTAAAAATCAAAGCTGATTGAGTGCTGCCAATTTTCAAAGATGTGCAAAACGAGCTGCAGTATTAATGAACGTTTTTCGATTCGGGTTGCAAAGCGTTCTTGGTTATCTAACCAAAAGCAGTAAAGTCAATTAGTCAGCTATAAAATTAAATCTTATTGGGTACTGCCAATTTTAAAAGATACGCAAAAAGAGTTCTAGTGCTCACAAGCATTTTGTATTTTTTTTTTCTCAAAAGCAGGCAAGTCACTAAGTCTACTTAAAAATTAAAGCTTATTGTGGTGCTGTCAAATTTGAAAAAGTACGCAAAAAGAGCTTTAATTTTTTTCACAAAAAACAGTTAAATGACATTCAGCCTAAGACAAGAGTTAAGCTCGAGACTAAATCTGCTTTAATGCTGTCAGCTTTGCAGAATATACAACATAAGTTTCAGTGTTGCAAAACGCTTTTGGGTAATTGACCGTAAGCTCTTCAGAGAATTAATTGGGGAATTATTATATGTTGGTTAGCTGGCCAGGCTAAATTGGTTTAGTTTAACACAACTTTTTTATTTGCTCGAATTCTAACTGTTAAAATTATACACAACAAACTTCAGTGTTGCAAAGCGGCTTAAGGCCACTTATCAAAATACAAAGCGTCGAGCATCATTTGGTTAATCAGCTTTGATAACTTGCCTTTGTTTAGACAACTAACTAACAAGGATTTAATACGCCTTATACCTTGTGTTCTCAACTGTAAATAAATCCTGAAAGGTAACCAAGCACATAGCAGAGAATTACGAACTGAAATCTTAACAAAAATAGCAATGTTTAACTTTTGAAAGGGCTTCTTGATTTAAAGCCATAATCTGTTGTTGGACTAACACAATTTTATTCGTAATTTCAAATGGATTTCGCATTTTGCTGATATTTTCCAATCCCGACCAGCCAGCAATTGGTCCAGAAAACTACTGAGTGCATTCTTTGCGTTTGTGGCCTGCACAGATACGAGAGGAGTATATGCGCCAGATTTGTAAATGGCAACGCCCGATAGTGCGGATGGATGTGGATTGTGGATGAGTCCAAACAAAGAGGCGAAGAGTGACGGCACCGAGTCCAAACAACAGCAACAAGAGCAAAATGAATGTGTCTGTTTTGCCTGTTTGCTTGCGCAATTTCCTTCTGGCTGGCAGAATCGCAGTCGGATCTGGAGCTGGAGCTGAAGCTGCAGTTGGAGTGGCAAAGATGTAGCATCAATAAACGAGATACGACAGAGTGCGACAAGAGGCACAGCGCAAACAGGGGGATATCCATTAGGCAGCGGAAAGGAGCAGCGGCTCGAGAGGATGACGATGATGATGACGATGATGGCGATGACAAGGCAGGAGGCGCCGCTAAGTAACGGCTTGGCAAACAACGGGCAACGGGCAACTGGCAACGACATGGTCAAGTTCCCTCATCTGCTGCGTCTATTCTTTTTTTTTTTTATTTATTTTTTCTTCATTTGCGGTGTAAAAGTTTAATAAACAACTTTACACACATGCACTTGCGACACGCACACAAACACAAAACTGGAGCATTTGAAATATGTTTTGAATTACATTTTTGCCTCGTTTTTTTTTTGAATCCGTCTTTGTTTGGAGTGGGACAAGACAAGTGCAAAAAAGTTGATAAAGTTCTTCTTTTAGGGTATGTGGCTCGAGCATATTTGCAATGTTTGTAAAATAATTTGGGTGGAGTTTACATTTCATTCGAATGGAATTCAGGAATTTGAAAAATGTTTATTGAATTGCTGCATTGAAAAAGTTATGAAAAAGGAGTCATAATAGAAGTTAAAAAATTAATATAAAAAGATAAGAATAATTAATTGGCATGTGCATTCAAATTTTTTACAAGGAGATTATATTTGTACATAAATAAAAAGCTTAATGATAAGGATAAATGACTAATTAGTTAAAGTCTTCTAGTTTCATGTCATGGGATTTTAAATTAATTAAAATTAATAATCTGGAATTTCAGCTTCCCGTTTTCTTATAGGTTTATATTTTTAGTTAACAAAAAATCGGAATTAAGCTAAAGAAAAGGAGATTCTACACTTCAATTTATCTGCATAATTATGCTCCAATAAAAGAAATTGCCTTAATATAGATATGAGTTTTTTAAATTAAAAAAAAAAGGAATAATGACTCATTCGGATATGTGTTACAGCGACCCCAAAAAGAAAACCTGGAGTGTGTACCAACATTTTTGCATTTGGCTATAGTGCTAGACCTCAGTGTAAGCGATACGAGAGCAAGATACATTTTGTCACGGAGCTCAGAGCGAAATGTTAGGGCCAAGACAAGGGGCAGGGAAAGCACTTCCAGCGAATGATTTGTGTCAACAGCAGCGGCAGCTGAAAAATGTGAGACTTTGCCGACTGATGGTTATAGACTGAGAGAAGAGAGAGAGAGAGAGAGAGAGAGAGAGAGAGAGAGAGAGAGAGAGAGGGGGAGTGAGAGAAGTGCGCTTCAGAGATCATCAGCAGCTGGCCAAGAATCAAGCAGCGTCTCACAAGACCCGGCTATGGACTGGCCCAGTGGCATGGACAATTGTAAAATGGCGTTGCGGAAATTGTGCGAGCAATGAAAAGAAATGAAAGAAATGAAAAGATGTCGTCGACACCTCATGATGAGGCGATAAAAAAAAAAGAGAACGAAATATAAAAATAAAGCGTCAAGCGCCGGCCGGCCGGCAAATGCTGTATTGAAAAGCACAAATTGTCCCAGTTTCAGCAACAGACAAAAGCCAACCTGTGAGTGGTCTGGGCCCCTCCTTCCTCCTCCCTCCTTCGCCCACCCTCCTTCCGCCTCCTCATGCCATTATCAAAGCTGGCAACTGATGGCAGCAAAAGAAATTAAACACAATTTGTGTCTCTGTTGCCTTTTTCTTAATTATTATGATTTGTACTTATTATTAAATACGAACAGCAATTTACCAAGCTGCCATTTGCCATTACAGTGCTCGGGTATTACTATGGATATGGAGGCATTATGGTACCTCGAGCTCAGCTCTGCTCGTTACTTTTGCTTTTACCAATTTCATTTCGTTCGCATTGTTAATTGAAAAGAAATTACAATGCCAGCAATCGCAAAATAATCAAATGAAAGTTATGTATCTACACTCAAGCGAACTCTGCAACGATGTATGTACATACATCAGCAGGCAGAAATGTGATATATTCTGATGGAAATATTTATAACTTTCGCTCTTGCATTTATGTACACTGACTGACTGATTGACTAACTGACTGACTTATTGACTGATTGATGATCAACGCACAGCCCAACCCGTAAGAGCTGGGAAGCTGAAATTTTCACAGTAGTTACCTTATGTGATGAAGGTGCACGTTAATACGGGGTTTCGGGAAATTCCACCCGCAAGTGTGGAAAAATCGCGGAAAATGTTTGTATGAAGCTTTTTTGTTTACCATCCGATCGGCCTCAAACTTATTTTCAAAGATCTTTGTTCAAATTCATTACAGATGTGTTTATTTTGGAAAATCCATCCCTCCTTGGTGGAAATGGGGGTCAAAGATTTGGTGGGTGACATTTCGCGCTCAAATTTATTTCTAAAGATCTATATGAAAATTCATTTGAGACGTGTTTCTTACTTTTCGCAGAATCCAAACTTATATCCAAACTATAATGAATACGTGTTTCAGCGATTTAGGAAATTCCACCCGAAACAGTGGAAAATTGGCGGAAAACGTTTG